TATATATATTATGTTTTATAAAAAATATTTGCAAAAGGTTTTAATTCCTGGGATCCATCCGAGCAAAGAGTGTGACACTACACCTTGCAACCAGGGGAGAGGTCATTCCCTATCAGGTAGTGTTTAATCATTATGGGCTGAGAGGTTAAGTGTAAGAGACCATTAAGGGTTGATTACCAGATGGGCTTTATCTTATTTAAGTTCATTATCCTTGGTCTTCATAGAATGGCTGAATTCAATGATCATTCAAGTGTAAATGTTGGGCCCATTTTGAGCCTATAATGATGTGCTCAAGGGTTCACTGCATTTAGTAGTGAATTTGGCTAGGCCTTTTCACAGAGGCAGGGACGAACCCATGTGGGCTTATGTGAAGTCATTGTGGGGTCTCACACCATACAAATCAAGCCTTAATTGTCCAAGCAACACTCTTGGGTCGTGAGCCATATAACTAATGGGCCTAAAGCCCATAATTGATATGATTAATTAAGATGTTACATGACTGCTTAAACTATCATGTGGCATGGGTGAATCTGGGTTTGGATATGGGTATGGAGACCCATTCTCTTAAGAGGATAAGACAAAGTCCAGATCCCAAATAAAGATTTGGATAAACCACCTAATTCAATTAGGAGAGGTTCTCCATAAAGGATAAAAGAAGAAGAGATCGAACTGCTCAATATCTCTCTGTGAATTCTGCTTTCTCTCCTGTTCTCTTGTCTCCCAAGAAACCCTAGTTCGATCTCAGATTTCGAAAGAAGGATCTCCTAGTTGATCTCCTTGCACACCCTCTCTCCGTCAAGGGTGTTAGTAAGCCAGACCTTCTAGTTCGATCGATAGATTGAACTCTCACCCTCTAGAATCTAGGATCTCAGTGGCAATGCAGGATGAGGAGGCCTCGTCTCCCTCTCGGTGTCTAAGTCAACCTCTACCACCTTCTCATAGAGGCACTTCAAAGGCCGAGGAGGTACCACCTCCTCGTAGAGGCACTTCAACGCCGTCTTCTTCTGATTTTGTACACGTTGGAGGTGACGAAGTCGAGCCACCTTGGCTTTTTCTTTATCTAACTCCTTGACTAATTTTTGGCAACCCTCTATCGGTAGCATTTTCAAAGTCTATAAAAAAGAAATAGTTGATCAATACATCTCGACGAAGCGAAGGCAGAATAGGATAGTGGTACAACATCGTTACCATGCTGAGTTGGACACAGTTTGGCACTAATCAGCCGAGCCTCGGACGTGTACTCCATCATGCTGATCCAAAGACTGACCATTTTACCTAATGTCTCCCTCTCCTCATAGGTCAGACACTTGGTCACAAGCACTTTCACTTTAGTAACTGGGGTCATCAGCTTCAATCTTAGGGACCATCCGCCCTTTCGACTCATGAAGAAGTACTTGCCCTTCCACCTATGGACGGAAGAAGAGCACCCTCCAGAACTTTTAGATTCTGTCGAACCAAGAAGTAGTAGAACCCCGACTGGCCAAGCTTCTTCAGGAATAACAAAGTATGAAACAAGTTGAAGGTAGTGAGTGAGTATTCTACTGTTGGCGATTGACAACATTAGTATGTGGTGAAGAAGTAGAAGAAGAATATCTTGATTCAACCATATCTCATGATTCCGTAGTAAGCCATGTAAATCATCAATTGTAAGAGAGCAAAAGTCCAAATATGTGGTGATTGATGTGATGAAAGAATCATAATCAGCACGAAACCATGTAATGCACATTGAAAAGAAGACCTCAAGGATGTACTGGATCGCTTGAAGCTTGCAAACTGATCAGCTATGTTTTTTACCAGTTTGGATCTAGTAGGGACAGCGTTGTAAGCATGTTCAATAAGTATTTGAAATTTTTTTTGACACCTGTCCCTTAGAATACCCTCACCCCACCCTTGAAAAGGATTAAAACTCACTTATGACACTTATCAAAATACTTATCAAATGCTCATTTAATGTGCTTACTTATGTTGTGCCTACTAATCCGGTCATATTTTTTACTTGTTGAATGTATTCTATTATAGTGGATGATCCCTTCTTGATAGTCATTAATAGAAATCAAAGTTGGAGTATTCTAGCTGGTGAAGGAGAGGTATAGGCGTTCTCCAAGGCTACGTTTGGTTTGAAGGAAAAGGTTGGGAAAGATGGTTTCCCTACCAAACACAACTTAAAGCTTTCCAAACCGAGTGAGAAGTGCGCAATCCAAAGTTGGAGTATTCTGGGTTGATATTCTTCTTAGTTGGATTTGTTGGGATCAGCAACTTCTTTGGGAGGACAATTGGTGGAGCCATCGATGATTCCTTCTATATCATGAGTGAAAAATTGGCAAGAATTGTGCATGATATGACAGGTAGTGGTTGCCAGTAAGCTTAATAGGGAGATAATGTGTTATGTTGGACATCACACATTAATAGAGGAAGAAAGTGAAAGGAGAGAGTTATTAAATTGAGAGGTTGATGTTTGAGTGTTGGATGAGGTTGATTCAGACGCCATTGGTTCCAATACCATATAAGAAACGACAAAAGAGAAGAGAAGAGAAGGGAGAAAGAAGGAATGGTTGGATGCTCCTTTGTGGAAGCTTTCCTTCTATTCAGACTTGTATCACATGAGTCCCATTCTCATCCATTTACCGGTCTAAGAGTAATGGTAGAACTGTACTATAAACAAGGGCAGTTCGCCTGGGCTGTGTTGAGAGTTCAGACCCATAGATCGGACTTACAGAATATTGTTCTTAAGTCCGATGCAGAACAAGTGATTGAAGCTATAAACAGCCATGGAGACTTTGCCATCCGCCCCACTGCAATGTTGGGCTGCAGATACCCACCAGATTTCAAGCCACACCCTAGACAGGCCAACTCTTTGATTGGCCCACCATTTCTCTCAGCTCATCAAGAACCGTCCTAACGCCAGGATGGATAAAGTCATTTATTTACCAAAAATAATAATGACAAAGCTAAGAACCTTATTAATTGTCCTTGGATAAACCCATCTTCAACGCTCCCTTTGAACTATTAGATCAATTCAACCCACCAAACTGATTAAGCAAGTAAATTGTACAGAATCACATAAGCTCTTACTAGAACAAGTTTGGTGACGTGACTTTGGTGGTCACATCTTCATTCTTAGAAGTTAGAATGATTGGGGTGCAGTAGACAAAACAGAAAAACTGCCTGCAAGTCTAACAGATATGAGATGTTCCACCTACTTTCACAGCATTCACTTGACCAAAAGTGCATTATTATTGACACTCCAAAACAAGGCAAAAGTTTGGATCAGAAGCTAATGACGCCTATGGAGATGTGATGCTGCATTAACTTGTCACAAGTTGCATGGTCAGAGAATCAGGCCCAACCAGTGAGAACGTCCCACCTAAGTAGTGCCGACAATGGACCGGCGGTCTCGATGAACCAGACCCTATTGGTCCAGAAATAATAATCCCATACTCGATTATTATTGATAGCTATACTTGTAGGTTGTAATTTGATAACAAACATATTTATTGACACATTTAAATATCATAATAATGTTCTAATAGATCATGAAAAAATACATATTAGAATGGGTGTCTTTGTAATAAGCCGGTAACTATTGCCCTGTTTGGAACCGATATAATTATCTAGTGGGCTTTTAAAAACCCGAAAGACCAAAAACTATCTTTTTCTTGTTTGGAACAAGGTTTAAAGTATCAAAAACGCAAGGTGTATCGAAAAAACAATTTTAAGAGACGTATTGGGATACGTTTTGGATACGCATGGATATAGAAGAAAAATCAAGATACACATAAATATGTTAAAAAATTCAAATAAATCATAAAAAATATATTATTAACAATGCTTACAAGTTTTATATGATTATAATAGGTCATTCAAATGTAAAAAACCATAATTTAATTTTCATATAAAATGTGACATTGAGACATAATTAGTAGTCATTGAAAAATGATGGGATAACTAAAATGTGAAAAAACAAAACAAAAACTAAAATATTAATGTATATACATCAATTTTCAAATAACCGATATAATTATCTTAATATTTATTAATATATAAATTTTAATAATTAATTTCAAAATTTATTAATAAGCACTACTAAGAAAAGAAAAACAATCGTCTTAAAATTAAAAATGCATGTAATTACAACAAACAAATCGGAGTGGTTTAGTGACAAAATTATGTGCATTAAAATTTGTTGAACAGAGTTCAAATCTTACTATTGTTAAAATTTGTAGTTTTTAACAAAACGAAATTAATGAGAGAAAGTCATTAAATTATAAAATTATCAAGAGGTGTGATTAGGGGCTAAAATTCAAATTTAAATTTAGATTTGCCTTAAATATACGAGTAATTAACTAAGGAAAAAGTTAGACTTAAATAGATACATAATAAAAGACATTAATGAGAGATTCGGTGTTAAATATAGATTAATTGAATTAAGGGAACCAAAACAATTCCGTTTGTTGTGTCAATACAGATCCAAAACAGGGAACCGAAACGATTCGATTTGTTTTGGCCGATACAGATACAAAACAGCCTGATACGGGCCTGTATCGACCAATACAAACAAAAAGAAACAGAATAAATGAATTTTACATGTTCCATGTATCGGTTTCTTATGAAAACGGTATGTATCAAACGACGATACAAACTGATACATTACGATATTTTAAACCTTGGTTTGAATAATAAAAGCCCATTAGACCTAAAGATAAGATGTGCATACCCATACCCCATATAATTTGGGTAGGTTCAGCTTTGCTGGTTCTATCGGATCTACCCGAAATATCGACAGCCCTTTGCCGCCTACGAGAGATAAATTCTAAGCCCATTCTTATTAATTGCGTAGAACACAACGTACCAGCGGGTTGCAATTGTTTGTTTTCTTTTCATAAATGTGGATCTGATGTGGTATGTTTGGCTTTTTATATGGAGTGATTTAATAATTAAAGGTCGCTACCAGGGGAAAAAATCGTTAAATATAAATTATGTATTGGGGAAAAACATGATCCTGCAAGCAGAAACAACACCGACCTTCCATTGAACAACACCAATCTAACCAATCTGCCAAAGAAAAGGCAACACCGACGTCCACCTAAATCCTAAGAAACTCAATCTTTACCATTTCCCGCTAGATTCATATGCATTCTTCCTAAATTAATACAATTCTCTTCTCTTTAAACCTAATAGTCTAATACCGTAAAGTAATTAACTGTTCAGGGCTTCAAGCCCAGTGGCATGCTCCCTTGAGCCAGCCACATATTTTCCAATTGACATCGCCAACAAATTTTCAAATTTTTGGTATCCAATGTCCACATAGGAAAAAATGAAGATATTCAAATTTCTTTTGCTTGTGTTACCTTAAATAGCAAAAGTAGCAATTTACTTACATCAGAATGCGAACTACAGCAAGACCAACAGCGGAAATGGACACAAGAGTTCCTATGCAATATTTGATGACATCATATTTTGCTGCTTCCAACTGAGCCCTTAATGCATGGATTTCCTATAGATAAGATTCAAAATGCCCAGAAATTCAATACAATAAGCCAAGTATGTTTAATTACCAAAAATAAATAATAAAAAAAATACACGCCAAACTATGTTTCAACCATATCTAAGTACCAACTTCATTCATAAAGCTCACCCGATCAAGCTTGTTAGTAAGGTTGGTGGTTTCTGCATTTTGATTAGCTAACTCATCACGTATGCGTCTACATTTAAGTGGCCAATAGTTAACAAGGATATAATACCAGGGGCAAAGAACCATCTAATTAATATGGCACCTGACTGCAAAACATCCAAACATGCAACTTGTAGAAAATAAGGAATTTATTATTTTTCTATTTTCCATACCCTCTTTCAAGGTTCAAATCCAAACGCTGACCTGCAGTAACCTTGTCAATCTCATACCTGTAATAAATCAATGTTCTTGTCAGCTTACAATTTAAAAAAATGAATAAATAAACAAGGAACCAAAACAACACAAAATTTTGAGACATACCTCAATTCACTGCGCATCTTCTCTATATCTCCACGAAGTTTTTCAGTCTCTCGTTGTAACATAGAAAAATGGTGCTCCTGCACCAAAATAAATAATATCCATCTTGAGAAGTATAGGCATAAAAAATTGAAGCATAAATAAAACAAAAACTAAAACCCACAGAGGCATGATGTTGAAAACAAAAGAACAAAAACATAAACTTTATGTATTAGAAAGAAAACCACATATGTTATCTATAGCTTATCAAATTAGTTAGTTACATGTTTATAATTTAACAATGGATATGGCACTAAACCAAACGGAATGGCAAATTAGGTTTCATGTTTGGTAGGCAGCTGACCCCATATAGTTAGGACAAGGTTTAGATGACGACGATGATGATGATGATGATGATTATATAGACTATATAGTATGTCCACATGTCAGGTAAAAGTAATATATCATATCCACATTATCTAACCAAGCATAAAGTTAATCTCAATTGCAAGTGAATGAGTAAAGATCTTGTCATGATCAGATATGAAGTTCGGCTGTTGGGAATAGCATACTTGAGGTACCAATCAGTGATAAGCTGCCAAGAAGAAATAGCAACTTAAACCAAATGCAGTAATGCACAACTTTTCCTTACCAAGTCAAGCTCATAACCAGTTCAGAGGCCAGAACCTGATCAAATTGCCTCATAAAAGCAAGATGCAGCAACCATACCAAATAACTAAGCAACTTAAATATCAGATGGTCCTAGGAAACAGCAACGCAAAAGAAGCAGTTTTCAGCAACTGCTGATGAACAAGTTTATTTTTTGGAGACAACAGGTTGTCCAAACAATTCATATAGCTAATTAGCAGCTAGATTTAAGCATACCATTCCATAACACCTAAATACAAACTAGAGGCATAGAAAGTGGAGGCAATAGAAACTAACATTTCTTTCAAAAAAAAAAAAAGAAGAAAGAAACTAGAGGCAAAGGAAAAGACATGCAGTAATCCTTGACCATAGTCAAAGGCATAATCCCACAGTAAACCCGCAACAATCTTGATTGTTACTTCTTTATTGACACATAAAGCAATTATTTCAAATGCCTTGGCTAGTTATCAGATTAGGTAGTGTCCAAAGTTCTAACTGTAAAATATATACATCAAAAAAAAGGAAAAGGAAAAGAAAAAGCTCTAACTGTAAAAAACAAAGCCAAAAGGTTATAAAACCCTTTGATAATTCAAACATAATAATTTACTCTTAGTCCAAACTAATCAAAAGATTGTCAATTCTGAGGCCCATGGGAAGAGAACCCAATAGATGGTAATAAGTTTGCTGGATATCAATGCCCCATGGACTAGGATGGACCATTTGATAGGTCCTGTCTAATAAATCAGATGGGCCAAAAGTCAGCATGCAAAGAAGGTTAAACTTAAGTGATTTTACCGTATTTAATTTGATGGTGGTTAAATTTTTCTGCTAAAATTTTAAAAATAAGCAGCTATACAAATAGTGCCCAAATTTAATGGTCAAAACCATCCAACTGCTGATTTTGGCATTTAGTTAGGACTCAATGAACAGCAGAGGTCCTGAATCTTGAAATACTGCAGATGTTACATGCCATGGGGGATCAGAAACATCAATGAGTCCTGACATGGTTTTGAAGAGGTCCAAAAGTTATTGAAAGTGAGAATACCATTTCGTTCAAAAGCTTCAAATGCTCTTCTTGCAAACTCCTCTCTGCCCCAGAAAAACAAGCCTAAGCTCTTTCCAACCTTGATATTCCTATCGGACAAACTCTCAATCTCCACTCCTTGCTAACTAACAACTCCTCACCATATCACTTCTCGCCATGGCAGCCACCATCTTTCTCCTTCTCTAACCCTTAAATTAGTGAAGAACTTTACTCTTGAGAGACCAGAATCTGGAAGTCCGCCCCAGCTGAATCCTGAACCTCAAACCCACAGCAAACTTCTTACTCAAGGCTTTGGCCTTCGTTCCTTTTTTCCTATAGACTCACATAAACTTGTTCATGGACCTGCCCCAACTAGACCTTATTTCAGTCTTGACAATATTTTAGTAACATGGACTATGTGAGACTTACTACAGACTCGAGCTTTCTTCAAAACCTCCAAATCACCAGCAGCTCCAACACTGAATGCAGATTTCCTTTCCTGCTCTAAATCAACTCCAAGCTTCCAATTGGTACCTCGATGTTCAATAATTCCTCACCCTCATCTGGCAGGTCACATTCACCCTCTTCATCCACCTCCTCTACATGAGTACATGACAACAGTCTTCAAATAGCTTCTTTTTTTATGAATGAAGAAATTTATTAATTCAGAAAAAATTACAAAACAGCCCAAAATAGCTGCTCCCTTGTAGCCCCCTGCTTAGCTAACCCATCCGCTAAGGTGTTAGATGATCTTCCCACCCATAGAGAGGTAACAGTCATATTTCTTGTTAGCCAGTTTACTCTCCTTAATAAATCTCTGTGTTGCCACATGGCTGAAGCTGGGTCTTTCAACCATCCCACCACAATTTGAGAGTCTCCTTCAACTACCAAGTGTTGAACCCCTAATTGTTCTGCAATCTGAATACCTTGTACCGCTGCTAAAATCTCAGCTCTATTAGAGCCTCCTATACCCACGGGGCCTGAGAACAAGGCTAATATGTTGCTCTCCATGTCTCTCAGCACCCCTCCTATCCCCGATGGGCCTGGGTTTCCTTGGCTGCTGCCATCAAAGTTCAGCTTTACCCATCCTTTAGGCGGAGGGGTCCACACTACAGATTCCCTGTCCTTCCTTGTATGGCTGTTAGCCACCACTACCCAGTTTCTCCAAATATCATCAAAGGAAAAGGTATGAAAGAAGCCCAAAGTTCTTAACCAGTGAATAACCCTAGTCAAGATACAATCCTCAACGGCCTGAATGCTTCTTTCTTTTTCTTTGAAAATCCTTGCGCTCCTTTCCCAAATTGTCCACAATGCAGCTGCTCTAATACATCTCCACATCAATTTTCCTTTTTTTGTAGGCCACACAAAAAAGGAGGGATCGAACAGTTGGCTTAAGTCTGTGGACAGATTCCACCTACACTCAAATAGAGAGAAAATCCAACTCCAAATAGCTCTAGAAAAGGAACAAGATACAAGTAGGTGGGAGCAATCCTCACCATTAGCCCTACAAAGTACACACCAATTAGGGGATAAACACATGAAAGGCCTTTTCCTCTGCAAGAAATCCAAGGTATTAATCTTTCTATAAAACACCTCCCAGCAGAAAATAACAATTTTAGGTGGAACAGGTCTAGACCAAATCTCCTTAGTTGGAAAACCCCATTGACTCAAGGAAGAGCAAAGAGCCTTGAAAAAGGAAGCACAAGAGAAGTGACCTTTTGGATGAGGGGACCATAATCTCACATCCACACTAAGAGGGTCCAAAAAAACATTGCCAAGCAGAGATAACAGGTCTGAAACACTGTTAAGTTCATCATCCCTCAACCCTATCCAAAAGCCGAGGTCCCAACTTAAGGACGAGGGTGAAAAAGGAGAAGGGAGAAAATGAGAGATAGCTTTTTCCTTGTAAAGGGAAACAGAATAAAGGAATGGAAATTGGTCCTTTAAAGCAATAGAACCCACCCAAGTGTCTTCCCAGAATAAAACAGAGTTACCAGAGTTGACATCATACCTGACAAGGTTGAGAAATTGAGGGAGGGTACTCTAGATTGCTTTCCAAGGAGATGCCAATGTTGCTTGCCACCGTGATACACCCGCATCCCAACCATTTTCCAATCTGCCATGTATACTCGCTATCACTTCATGCCACAACCTCTCCCTTTCTCTAGGCCATCTCCACAGCCATTTTCCTAAGAGGGCTTTATTCTTGAGAGTTAACCTTCCTAACCCCAGTCCACCTTCCTCTTTGCTCCTACATACTATTTCCCAATTAATTAAATGATCTTTCTTTTCCTCCCCTAACTCCCAAAGAAAATTTCTCATTAATCTCTCCAACTTCTTAGCTTCCCTATTAGGAATCCTAAAAACAGGTAAGAAATAGATCGGTAGGTTCGTTAGGGTGGCTGTCAATAAAGTCTCTACCCCCTATAGAGATATAGTTCCTTCTCCAAGCAGCAAATCTTTTCTCAAACTTTTCCAAAACTGGGTTCCAAAAACTACTCTCTTTTGGGTTAGCCCCTAGAGGGAGACCTAGGTACTGCAAGGGCCACGAAGAGACAGGACAACCTAGACAAYYTKCCACAGACTGAATACTCTCCTCATCCATATTGACTCCTACCACACAACTCTTATCCATGTTTATCTTCAAATTGAAGCCTTCTCAAACTGTTGTAACAATGCTCTAAGGTTCCTCACTTTTTGCCTGTCACCCCCTTCACAAAATATTATGATATCATCAGCAAATTGTAGATGGGTTACCCGGACATTGTTCCTTCCTATCCTCCAACCACTCACCTCCTCTTCCCTATCTGCCTTAGAGATTAATCTACTGAAAGCATCTGCCACTAAGGTGAAAAGAAACAAGGAGAGTGGGTCACCTTGTCTAAGGCCTCGATAAGCTGGGAAAAAATCTCTGACCATCCCATTGACCAAGACTGAGTAATGGCAGTCTATCTCCAAAGCCACCTTTACCCAGTTGCATCATCTATCTCCAAAGCCACAACACCGAAGGATCTCTAGTAAAAAACTCCAATCCACAAGATCATAAGCCTTCTCTAAGTCTAGCTTACACGCAAAACCTTGGTTCCCCGACTTTCTCATGTCCTCCACACACTCATTTGCTATTAGGATCTGATCTGTTATTTGCCTTCCTTGCACGAATGCACCTTGTGCTTGACTAATGATGRATGGTAGTACTATTYRGATTCTCATGGACAACACTTTGGCCAAGATTTTATAGATGCTTGTCACCAAACTAATCGTCCTATAATCCTTAGGATGCTTTGCATCTATTTTCTTTGGGATAAGGGCTAAGAAGGTTGCATTAACTTCAGGGCTTACCTTTTTCTATAGTCTTCAAATAGCTTGTTCTCAACCCTTTTAGAAACCTCCCCTTCTCAATGCTCCTCCCCCCCAACTACTTCCTCCACTTTGTCTTCCACATCCGCCTTTTCTCCCTCCCTCCTAAACATTCATTGTCCCGGATTGCTAGAAAAGAACCACCCACCTTAGCAACTTCAGCTTGAACCTCAACTAAGAAGGAACCGAAGTAAATCACATTAACAACCTGCCGCTTGGAGTCCAACCTCTCCAACTCAACAATCCCATCAATCAGCTCACTTGGAATGGTCATCTGCTTGCACCAAACAGAGCTTTGAAGATTCTTCAATCCAACCCACTCCCTTTGAAACCAATGTCTTCCTACCAATTCTATTCTACCTTGCTACCACCGAAACGAAGTTCTCCGCCTTTCCTTTTAAGGGTTTAAATGCACCTCTTTTTTTTCTCCCCAATTTAAAGGCATGACCTTTTTTTCTCCCCAATTTTCGAAACCTATGTTTCAGAATTAATAAGTGGGCCCCAGCTTCCAATGCCAATCACATTAATAACCGGTTGTGTCTCATCCAATGCCAATCACATTTTAGCTATCTATCATCAATGTCTTTATCCATGTGTTCCTTAATTAACTCCTCATCCCTACTCGAATTTTCCTCATTGCCCCTCAACCTATCTCCTCCATTGTCTTCCACTTCTGAGCAGTAGTTCGCATTCCCCATCTCACCAGAGCAACAGACCCGAGACTCATCCCCCAATCTGCATTCTCCTCTCCCCTGCTTTCTTTTTCTCCCCTCTCAATGCCATCTTCTGCCCTAAAGAATGAGCTATCTTCCCCTTCTACATAAATCCTTAATTCGTACTCTTCTCAAACATAAGCATTTTAGAACTTGGAACAGCAAAGATCTCTTCAACTTCCACAAGATTCTTACAACATCAATTTCCTCCCACCTTCTATTCCTCTCATCCAATTTCATAAACTTGTCATAGAAACCCCCAATTGCGTTAAAGGCAAAGATACACCACACATGCAGGGGAAAAGCCAAAACTCCCATCCAAACCACTCTTCTTCCTCTACCTTATTGAGTCAGACCTGCCACAGGAAACCACCAGCTTAATCTAACGTAGTCCCTGCTTTCCTTTACTTTTGCCTTCAAAACCCAGCCAGTACCACTTCTGCCAAGAAACATAAACAAAAACAAGCCCCAGTTTAACTTCCGCACTCCCAAAACTCTATCCTTACCCCATTCAAATGCTGCCCATGCTTCCACTTTTTATTCCAACTCCAATCCAACAAACCTTCCCACTAAACTTGCATTTATGACTTCCATCCTCTCAGCCCTTTTTCCCACCATCCTTGTGTCAATTTTGACCACTCCATTTCAACCTTCAGCCATTTTTTTGGCATCCTCATCATATTATCCTTCACAATCCTCGTATCATGTTATCCTTCACCCATAGGTTATTCTCTAGATGCATTCATTAAGAAGTTGTCAATGGTGAGAATCCTGTCTAACTACACATCACAAGAAGAATGATACTTTGGAGGGGCATTGACATTTCCAAAATCCAAATACATTCCCATGGTATTGGTTCCCCGTCGATGGTATTTGTCAAGTCTCCAAGAAGAATGATACTTTAGCCAGCCTCTAAGGACCACTATCAATCTCCCTAAACCAATTAATGGTATTTGTAGTGTCTCCTATGGAAAGGGACGACAATCCCAGTTGCATAGTTAACCTCGGGCCTGTTAAGACAGTCGATACGTCAGATTTCATAGAGTTAACCACACCAATCCACCAACTAAAAACCCAAAAAATCATCTCTTCTTAAAATCATTCATTGAAGCCGCCTCCACCCTAGTTGAACACTGCAAGGGGATGCAAGACCCAATGAAGTGTGAAGAATCTCCACCAGATTCCTTTGAAGATCATTCGAAAAAATCCTTCGATGTGAGAACCCTTTACAAAGGTGGGATCTAGCCCTATCTTTTGCTTCTCTCTTTCCACATGCCCCAAAATACTATATATGTGGTAATGCTCCAATAAATCTCTCCTCTACTGCCGAAGCCACACAGATGCCACTGGTTTAAAAGTCCAAAATATGCTCCAAAGCAACCCAGCTATATAACCATCCAAGTTTAAATACAAGTTCCATCAAAATATCGCCATTGAGCAATGAATAAGAAGGTTATCTGCTATTTCTCTATCCTGAAAACACATGATGCACACATAAGGAGATATCCACAATCTTTCCAGTTTCTTCCTTTGCATGATGTCACATGTATTGGTTCTCCCCATACATACCTCCCATACAAAAAATGATACTCTCATATGAATAATAAAGTTCCACACCTTCTTAGCTGGAAAATTGGGGTCTTGCAGATCTGAAACAAGGGCCTTAAAGAAAGAGTTAGTGGACTTACCCAACAGGTTGATTTTCCAAATTCTATAGTCACACTTCTGTCAGCTAAGAATAATCCCTAAGAAGTCTTCTAAGAAACAAGTTCCGATTATTTTCGTGGGGTGAAGGCATTGAGGACAAGAAGAAATGGAAGCATTCTTAACCTAAGAAAGACCAAATAAGCAGGGGAAAGACTCAGTAAGAAGCCTCTTTCCCCACTAAAGATCAGTCCAAAACTTAATTCTGTTACCATTCCCAACCTGAAATTAGTGAATTTAAAGAAAATATTATAGGTTTGAGTACTACATTTCCAATGATTGGTTGATTTGACCCAGATCAAGTGGTGATTGTTGTCGCAAGCATTCACATCCTTCTCGTACTTGCTGTTTACAACAAAGTTGCAAAGAGAATTAGATTTAGTAGGGAATCTCCAGAGCCATATTCATAGGAGAACCATGTTCCTTTCCATGATATGCCCGATCCCAACCCACCAGTTTCCTTTTGATGCAAATCTTCTCCCATTTTACTCAACAACTTCTTTTCTCACCATCCCCTTTCCACAGTTTATTTTTCTTTTTTTTACTTTTTATCAGCAACCCAGAAAACAGAATTTCATTAAAGATGAAAAAAAACAGAGTACAACCAGTAAGTTGTGAAAAGAAAACAATCCCAATACAGGTGGCAGCTGAATGTTTCAAGTTTAAAATTAAATATTCGTTGACATGAATTATATTATATGACATAACACGTGAAGTAAAATATGTGTTATCAATTGCTTGTTTGTACTTTTACTCTCAAAATAATGCTGTGAAAGCAACATTTTACCAAACAGCTTTTGCAGAATAAAACACACAGTAAAAGCTGATATATGGGCATTAAATAATTAGAGCAATCTCCTATCCACCATGATACCAGCTCTATGTTCACTAAATAATATAGGCAAGTGTTCTTTATTTTTTTCATTTAGGTTTCCTTTTCTTTGCTAGTAGCTGGGGGCTTCTTTTTGACAATTAACTAAATTACTTCATTGCCAACCCAAATTAGGGCTACAAAAGGATCATATCAGATTGGATATTTCTAGATCCAAATTTGATTTGTAATATTTGGTACCAAATCTAACTTATCTTTGGAAAGATTCATAAATGGGTTTTTTTTCCAATGAATGTTATGCAAATAAAATTGTTTCATCCTTGGGTCATTTTTCTAAATGGAACTCTATTTTAGAACAGTAAAAATATGGACCAATGCCATGTTGTCAACAATCAGCTAACTTCACATTCAAAACAGTTATGCATAAACTGCCTTATATTTTACACATCAAGATATATAAATATGAAAAACTAAAATCTAGTATTCATAGAAAGGAATTGCAATTAGCACCTGGGAACTCTTAACTTCAGATTTGAATTTTGACAGGCTAGATTCTTGTGTCATCTCACTCTGTGGAAAGAACAAAATTAGACAATTAGAAGTAAAAAAAGAGGGGATTTTGTGGCATTTAACATATTAAAAAGCAGTTTGTTCTTCAGAACAGCAAAGGGTATAGTTGCTGCTATTGGGAAAAAATTACCAATGCCTTCAAATATGAAATACAAGCTTAAGATAAAACATAAGGCTGCGTTTGGTTTGTGAGAAAGGGATGATAGGAATATTCTTTAAAGATTCTATTTTCTTGAGTTTGGTTTGTGGGATGCACAAGGATGGGACGGGAAAATTGTGGGACACGATTTCTCAAAAAGTGGGATGCTGGGTCACACCAAAACAGTGTGACCCCGGTAGGAAAGGAAAATTGAGGGAAAGTTTAACAGGGCTTGTCAAAGAGAGTTTGTCTTCTCCATTTTGTGCATCAAGCAGATCTCTCCAATAAATGACATAAAAAGCTATGTTCTCATCTCATGTTTCTTAGTCAAGGTAAAACTCTATTTAGATTCCTTATGATTTCCACACTACTTGGTATTACCACCATGGCTGCCTTTGGTCTGCAACTTTGATATGCTATCACCACCGCGGCTGCCTTGTACCTAACAATGATGGTCGGCCTATGTCAATTGTTTCTATGCACCAATACCTTTCTGAGCTATTTATCATCCAGGTCTGAGTTACTTGAGTTCAATATCTCATATTTGGGTTTTCCTAGGTCTAAACTTTTCACCCACTTGAGTTTAATATCTTAAATCTGGGTTTTCCTAAATATGATAAAAGGGCTTTGTCTTATTTCTATTTTTTTACAATGTCTCAAAACAATTCCAACCCCCTCCTCCATTGATGCATAGGCTGATTTTCATATTTCTTCTTATCCCTAACATAGCTTAAGGACTTAACCTGTACTTTCATTTCAAAAATTCCTTCAGTAAGTTGGTGGGTCTGTATTGTACAGGATTCCTCCACATTTGTTTTGCCCTGTTTCATTTTTGGTGTTTTGCCTTGTTTCAATTTAATTAGTTAAGTTTATCACCTTCCACCAAACCTCCATCCCTAGCTTCAAAACTAGGCCTAGCTTCATAACTAACTATGCACACTCATAATATCTAATTAATATGGCCTTTTATTTGTTTTTCTTTGTAGTCGTAGATTATTTGGGGCTATAAACAATAACTTTTTTCTCATTTTCTTTTAAGCCAAGAAGATGTATCGAAGTTTCATCCCCACCAAATGACCAATGGGATTTACAAACTCTTGTTTAAATTTTCCCTCAAGGCACTATGAAGGAAATAATAATCATTCCTTCGGGTCACTTGCACCATGATCAATTGCTATGAAAACATTCAAATTCTTGCATTTAGACAGTAAAATCCTGCATACAAGCTCTTTAAAAAGTCCTACCCCAGCTATTTTCATCAAGTGGTACAATGGAAATACATGGTAGCTAAAAATTCCATTTGGATTCCATATTTTCCTATGGAGAGTTTACTGGGATGCAATTCCCACTAAGGACAAGCTTTTTTTTTTTCTTATATGAAGAAGATAAAGCATGTCTTCTTTGTGGTGTACATTAGGAAACAATGCATCATTTACTTTTCTCCTGCCATTTTGCAAGAGAAATTTGGCTGGATCTCCATCTGAACATCTTCTAGCAAGCACTAAGATGTTCTATGGAATCATCACAGAACAGAAACAGATTGAAACTCGTTAATAACATTGCTAAATCTAAATAGAGACAAGCTTTGGAGAAGGTTGCTATTGTATTCTGGTTCATATAGGATGCTATAAACAAAAGATTGCATGATTGACCCCATGGTTATAGTTATGGGTGTAATTCACTCTTTCTAGTTACTACTACTGCTAAAGATACAACAATATAGAGCCCTTTATAGCTGCTGCTATAGATTGTGTGCTAATCAAGCAAAATTGCAGGGTGTAGCAATGGTAGGTTGCACATCTCAATCTGAATCCTTTGGAATCTAAATGGCAGGCAATACTATAAGGAATAAAAGCAGCTATAAAGGCAAAACCTAGCAGATAAATTTTTTTCGAATGCCATGTATATGTAGTTGTGTTTAAACATCAAAATTAGATTGTAACTGCTGCGATTAAATATATAGGAATGAAGTAATAGAGCTATTTGCAGAAAAATGAGATAGCTCATAAAATAGCATACACTATTTGTAAGAAGGGAAAGAAACTGTGGTATTCCCTTCATTGGGGATTGATGGACAAATCTTTTTGAATAAAACATAATATTTTATTTTTGGGTTTAGTTGACAAAAAAAAGGTAAACCAAACATTTTTCTCTCCATTTATTTTCCCACAAAAAAGGAATATTTCCATTATTTTCCCTTGTATAACCAAACGATGTAAAGTGAACTTTTCCCATCCCACCCAAATCTTCCCACAAACCAAAAGGAGCCTAAAAGAAGACAGGTGAGACTTCCTTACTTTCTGCATCTCTCCTTTTGAAACAAAGGATTGTGCAACATTTTCCAAACTGTCATTCAACACCTCGGTAATAGCAGCTGTTATTGCCTCGGCTTGCTTCGAGGGCACACCTTGTGCTTCTAATCTTCTAACCTGGATATCCAAGTTTGCACTTTCTCAAGACAATTAACTCAAAAGATACAATTGATTCAACAGAAACCGAATTGCTTGAAAATATATTGCATAACCCTAGACTTGCATATTTCCTTAATTTAATCTTGAAGAAAAGCAATAATATAAGAATAATGAAAAAACTTCTAATGATTAATTACCAAAGCCAATGTATCAACCAGAAATGCATGCTTTCCGTTTGATTTAACAAGTTGAGATATCAATCTGCAATCGAATCTGTTAAAAGGTGACGACTTCAAAGCAAAAGAATTAGACAACCTAATGGAAGAATCAGGCGATAAACAATCTATAACATTTGCTGCATTTGATCCGTTAAAGTGATTGAACCTAGTGAAGCAAATCACAGAATTCGTCCCCAACAACACCGCCCGCCTACAAGCGGCTGCTTTGGCCATTCGTTTGTGAAACGAAACTAGAGAAAGGAATCCACCAGACTTGTGCTTCCAATCTTCTAACCTGGATATCCAAGTTCACACTTTCTCAAGACAATTAAATCAAAAGATAAAATTGATTCAATAGAAACCGAATTGCTTGAAAATATATTTTGCATAATCCTAGACTTATATTTCCTTAATTTAATCTTGAAGAAAAGCAATAATATAACAATAATGAAAAGACTTTTAACGATTAATTACCAAAGCCAATGTATCAACCAGAAATGCACGCTTGTTGTTTGATTTAACAAGTTGAGATATCAATCGCAATCGAATCTGTGAAAAGGTGACGACTTCAAAGCGAAAGAATTAGACAACCTAATGGAAGAATCAGGCGACATACAATCTATAGCATTTGTCGCATTTGATCCATTAAAGTGAATCAACCTAGTGAAGCAAATCGCAGAATTCGTCCCCAACAACACCGCCCGACTACAACCGGTTGCTTTGGCCATTCGTTTGTGAAACCAAACTAGAGAAAGGGTTCCACCATAATTCAAAAAATCTACAAAGAAACAATGTCAATTCCTCTGGTCCTCTCTTCTAACATTCCCAAAATCCGCTTCAAAAACCTATTTCCCTTTATTGTCCATTCAAAGTCCAAAGAGAGGACTTTGGTTTTGGGCGAGCAACCGTGTAGCGAGGAAAGCACCCAATGGTCCCAGTCAACAACCTATTTCTGAGAAAGGGAGAAGATCTTTGGAGTCCCTTTTTTTTTGATAATTGAAATGATTTTATAAAACAGCAATAGACAATAGTACAAAGTCCTCAAGGAAAGGTACGAGTTGCAACCTCTCCGGGCTAGTTAAGTACAGATTTCCAAATTAATAACAACTTACATAGAAGCACACAAAAGATCTTCCCTAGAAACCCCCTATTTG